GCTTTTTTTCCTATTTATGTAAACATTATGACTTGAATTGTAGACTTGTATGTCAATATATGAGCAGAATTTTATTATATTATACATTATTTTATGGTAATTCATGAACAATTTTTATGAGTAAAAATATATTAGTTGTAATTAACAATGTAGCAAATTCAATTTAAATGTAACTATTAAGAGCTCTCAATAAGAGACAAACAAAAAATGCTGTATTAACATTTTTCAAATATTACTTAAAATCACTTAAATTTCTATTAACTTCATCATTTTATGATTAAAGATGCAAATAATCGTTTACTTTGTTGATAAAATTAACAAAGTAAGTTGACTCTAAAATTATATGTTATGTAATTATGGAATCAATTTAAGTTATTAATTGTTGCGATCGTCAATAAATAATTAATAAATGGCGTTGTATAGTTAATTTTTTAGATAAGGGTTGACTCAAGTTATGTAAACTTAATATTTAAAAATAACAATTGATTTTGGAAGTTAAATAAATATTGCATTTTTTCGCTTTATTATTTTATGGTACCTTTACTTTTTATTATAATTATACTATCATTATTAATTAAAATTTTAAAATATATTGAGTAAACTAGCAAAATGTCTTTAGTGTGTAGATGTTTTAGGAGTTTTTAATTGGGAATTATAAAAAAAATGTGCTCTTGTTAAAAATACATCTGGAATCTAGACAGTTTTCCTTTCCATTACTACGGCACTATTTTCTAGTAATTTTAAAAAATGTATCTGTAAGGGCTTTATATTCCACACCATCTTTTGGTGAAGAGTATAGTGTATCATAGATTATCTTAGATTAACCTAAGTTATTTAATTAAAAATTTTTTTAGAGTATCATTGTTATAAAAACTGCAATAATTATTTCATATTTGTGTATATTATTTTATCTTTTATTTATTATTACTTATTTAGCTTATATATTAATGTTGTATAAATTAAGTAATATTCATAAAAAACTTAATAAGATTCGGCTTCTTAATCAAATAAAATTTTCTACAATACAAATGATCTTGTGAACTGTATTTTGAATTATTTCTTAATAATAGTATTTCAGATTGTCTATTTAATTGTTATCACTTGTCATGATGTAAATAGATTCATTGATTTTAAGTTAGGTTTCATTAGTTCAATTGCATGATGGTCAGTTAAAAATCATATAAGTATTATATACTTATGTGATTTCAATTATTGTAGTATATAAAATTAGTTTTATTGTTATGTAGCATTCAGGTGCATCATTTTATATTTACATTGTTTTTTTGTGAAATGGCTGGGTAAAAATAAACAATGAAAAACTAATGTATCATATAGATAAACCATTTGGCAGGCTTATACGGTCAAAGTTGTATGGAATGAATTTAATTTCGTTAATTAAATAAAGTTTTCTCAATATCAGAGTTTGTAACGATTCATTTAGCAAAGTCAAGTATTATTGTGTCGTTAAAAGTCGTAAATTATTTTTATGTTTTATTGCTTAATATGACTAAAAAATGTGTAAATATATTTTGTAGGAGTTTTTATTAATTAAAAATCTGACAAAAATTCAACTGTACATTTATAGTGTAATAAAATTAACATAAATACTTGTAAATATTTCATATTATTATAATGTTCTTGACATTAATTTAATGTGTTTGATTTTTTAATTCTAGTTGTTCATTATAACTTTAAAAATGTCAGAAATAGTAAAAAAAATACTGTTATAATAGTTTTCTAGATCTCAATTTTAAGAATATATCAGATGGGACTTTAAGACTTTTACTTGAATAAGATTATTTGAAAGCTACACCCCAAAATGAATTGAAAAAGTTTCTGTAAGACTCAACAATACAATACATTATTGTAACTTTTAAATTATATGGAATAGTCTGACTTGGCAGCAAAATGATTGATTTCATCTCTAAGAAGTGCATTATTGTTCGATTATTCTATATAAATAAAATAGTACACTTTTCCTTTTTTTAATATTACCTCATCAAAATGTCAACTATTATTGTTATTTTATGTGCATGGAATTAAAAATTTCTTATCAGTATTTACGAATTATTATTTAAAATCATTACATAAATAATGATTGTATAAATCACTCCGTCCAACCAATAGTTTTTCAAAAGGATGTTAAAGATAAATAAATAAATAATTTATAAAAATTTAATTAACAATATATAACATATTTAATATTTTTATCATTAAATACGAGAAGAGACTGTAAAGTAATGCCTCCTAATGTATAATTTAATGAAATAAAAATATATGATTCTAATATCCGTTTCCTTTATAAACTCACAACTGGTTTGATTGATTCCCCTGTCCTTCTTTTAAAATTGAATTTTCAGGTGCTCTTCGTTCAACTCGTAATACTACCCATTTTCTCTTCTAATTATGTATTTCATTCGGCTCTTCCACGTCTAATGCGCACAACAAATAATGACTCTGATTTTTTGCACTCTTTTCGTAGTCATTTAGATATTCTATTTAAGATTTAAATTTTGATCATGTTTTTATTTTGTACTTGTCTTAATTAAAATATGTTTTGCGTTTATTTTTTATTTCTTTATTAAATTTACTTTTGTTAAATTATGTTCATATTTTTAAGTTTATTTGGTAATTTTGAGGTGATAAATTTGCTGTCAAATAAATACTCTATTTTTTGGGCTATTGCCCGTAATGTTAATAATAAATAAATAAACATAAATATATTCAATATCGATTTATTTTCACTAACGTTTTACAGGTTTTAAAAGCTGTATAAATAAAATTACTCACCTTAATAAAATATACTACCGTTTGTGTTAAGCCTCAATTTTTTTTAAGATTTCTAAAATTAAATTCACTTACTATACATAGACTTTAGAAAGATTTAAAAACTATAAAAATAAGGCATTTAGTAAACATTTTTACGATTAAATGATAATCGATTTTTGCTTCACCACAATAAATCAGAAATGTCAAAGAAAGCTATTAATTTGCTTAGATTTCTCGTTCTTTCACATTCATTCTATAGTCCGAATTTAGCGCCAAGTACCAGCATTAATGAAGATTTACTTGGAGAAAATTAAGATAAAAAACATTAAAATCTTATGTGTATAAAATTTTATCTTAATGAAAAATTTAATGATAAAGTTAATGATAGTATATTGGTCAATATAATTATTTTATTTTAACGTTCTTTCAAAAAACTTGTAAAACGTTAACGAAAATATATCAATATAGGGGGTAGTTATGTTGAAAAGTAATCATTGATTATTAAAGATTGTTTAATTTTCTATAAGTGTTTTTATTATCTGTATATTCCAGACATTTTATACGTTAAAAATCATTACTACTCAGTCTATCCTCGTAATTATCAATTATACTTAGTACTTTATATACTTTATATTATACAATTATTTCTATTATGTGTCTTAGCGTATATAATAATCAATTGAATTTCATTTTACTTATAATTAAACTTTAAAATACAGAATTATTATTAAATTAATATTTGTATATTGCATTTGATCATTGTTGAATATGTCTGGTAAATTAAATAAAAAAATATATTTTGTGATTGTACTTGTGTATTGAATTTTTCGTTAATATTCTGTTTGTATACTTAATTAGTAATTTAACAGTCATTAAATACAAGGAATAATTATATATTTTAATGGAAATACTCTTCGTACAATATAGTAAAAGGAAATTCCGAGTTAATGTTGAATTTACGATATTAATGGTGTCAGTTTTAATCTTGTGTACTGTTTTAAATAAAATACGAGATCTGCTATAAAATCACATTAAATAAAAGTACAATTAATTTCTTCTTACCGTATCTTCAATTATTTAATACTTTTTGATCATTCCGTTCTTTAATGTTATTAAATTATATTATTATTTTTGACATCTTAAAAGAATTTTTAAACACCTCCAGAATATTTAATTGAGTTTTATTTTAAATTAAACCGTTACATTTTGTTTACTATTTTTTATCAGAAATGATTATGTTGAATGATTGATGTTCGTTGCAATTCATATTATCAAGTTTACCATATTACCATTAAATTTGTGTGGCGCATTGTAAAATATAACATCAATAATATTTCTCATTATAATAGAAATTCGTAATAATTATAATGTTAGTAACCAACTGTTATTGTACCGTAGACACTATTGTTCCCATCTTCTATGTAAATATCTTATGCAAATTATGGGTTTCACTACAGGCTATTTTATACGAACCGGATAGGTATTAAAAACAACAAACGATACATTTGTTCGAGTATTCAATGTCGTATAAACCATGACCTGTGATCTGACTCTGACTTTTTGGACAAATCGCCCGTGTCTAATAATCTCCTGAGAATTAGAAGTTTGTAGAAGTTTGGTCAAGGGTCGATGTTTTATATTACCCACTGTCTAACATCTTAGGAACGATATTCAAACCGCACTCATGTATAAAGATCATGAATCTTCTATTATACAAGTATAAATTTAAGATCCTACCTATTAGAAAATGACCTCGTGTTTCTCTTTAATTTTTGAGCTATCTATTTTCATCGAATAGAAACTTAATTAAATTAGATTAAAATTTGAATTGGAATGTAAGTTTAGTTAATTTATAATAATTAGTAGATTATTGTGAAGGCTAGTAAAATACAATTTAATTGTATGCGAGAGAACCATTTTAATTATTGTACTGAAATTTCGAGTGAAATCTATTTACGTATTTTAATGTTTTAAACATCCTAATAAATAAGTTAAAATATCAAATCACAAAACACTAGTTCGAAACTTTATATAGTTCATTATTTGAAATGTGTATAATTTAATCGAAAAGTAATATGTGTTAGCTATGATCGAATAGTCATTTTGAACATTTTAAGCTTCGTACTGAACATTTTTAAGAATAATTATTTGATGATAAATAAAACTTTTAAATGTTTTAAAAGTAATGTTTTCTATGTAAATAAATTAGAAAAAATGTTACATTTTTTCAGATTAAAAAAAATATAATCATTAACAACTACAATGTTTAGCTCTATCTGTAAGTTAAGTACGACAATAAGCAGCCGTTACATATTGGTAGAGACTCTATCTAGAAGAATGTCACAAAAACATTCTAGAATGGAAGACTATTTTAAGGATAAACGTTTTGTCGTGACAGGAGCTAGCGCCGGTAAGTATTTTAAACATCATAGAGAGTATTCTTTTATTTATAAGTGTATTTTTATAGGTATGGGAAAAGTAATTGCAGAAAGGCTTATAGATCTTAATTCATATGTTTTTGCTATCGGTAGAGATCCAGAAAACTTGCCACCAGAAAGTAGTAAGGTTAAGCATGTTGTTTTAGACGTATCAGATTGGAATTTGGCTTACAAATTAACTTCAGAAATTGGACCGGTACATGGATTAGTGAACAATGCCGGAGTAGCTCATATAGAGCCATTTTTAGAATTATCGAAAGACGGTTGGGAAGAGTATGTATGCGTTTGTCATAGTATATTTTTTTTAATTCAGCGTTAGCACCTTTTTCACGTTTTGCATTAATTCATAAACATTTTTTAGTACAATCAATGTCAATGCTAGGGGAATGATCAGAATTAGTCAAGCAGTAGTGAAAAATATGATTGACGCAGGAATTAAAGGATCTATTGTAAATGTGTCATCGACTATTTCTGAAGTAAGTCTCGAAAGTACTTAAGATTCTAAAAAACTATAAATCGTTCCGTAAATAATTTTTTGTTGTTGTTAATAAAGAATATTGTGATATTTAAAATGTTATAAATATGCAGCACATTATAATACATTCTTATTCCTCGTCTTAATCTCAACTACTTGGGGTCGGCCCACATAACAATGTGATTTACAAAAATAAATAAAAATAATAGAACTTGATTATGTGAAATGTCTGAGTGTTTAATTGTCTAGTTAATTGCGATCAACTTGTTTCAGCATGAAATTTAGCACAAGATGCTACCTTGTAATCTTCGTGTTTCGTAACGTGTCGTTCCATTAATTTATGCAATTTCATAATCGAATTTGTTACAATATAAATATGAATGTTCGTTCAATTAACAAGTTCAATCATTTCAACAAGTTAAAATTTATTTCAATCACTTTTAGAGAGTTGTTCCCGACCATGTATCTTATTGTGCATCGAAAGGGGCCGTAAATCAAATTACCAGAACAATGGCTATTGAATTTGGACCTAAAGGAATAAGAACCAATAATGTTTGCCCAACAGTGGTATTAACTAAAATGGGAATGAAGGCGTGGTCTGATCCTGCAAAATCAAAACCTATTATGGATAGAATACCATTAGGAAGATTCGCTAGTATGTAGAAATAAAAATAAAATACTAAATAGTTAATACTCATATCTTATCAAAGTATTATACAATTTTTTTAAGACTATTAAACTATAATAATTGCTTAAAGTTGTATTAAATAAAAACATTAATTCTTGATAAAAATATTTAAAAGACTAATAATAATCATATGAACATCTAACGAATAAAAAATAAAAATTATTTTTATAGTGCCTGATGATATCGCAGACGCAACGATATTTTTGTTGAGTGACTACGCAAAAATGGTGAATGGTCTTAATCTGTACGTGGATGGAGGTTTCATGTCTGGATAATTTATTCGATAATCTTATCAAATACATATAAATTATTTATCTTTACTCACTTATTAAGTAATATTACTGTTTACATTATTGTAATTATAAGAATGTAATATATATTTATACATTTTAATTTTTTTATGTATATTATTTGTTAATTAAGTATGTACTAATATTGGGCCATTACTAAGTTATTACTGCGTCATTCACGTTTTATATTTTTATTTTCTCGTTAATTATAGTTATTATATAATATAACTGAAAATATATGAATACTCTAATTTAAAATTTTACTCTAATTTAAATTAAACTGAGGTATTATTATACCTTAGTTTACTAATACTTCTACAAAAAAACTTTGAATGATGTAATATTTTCTGCCCAATCTGAAAAAAATCTTGGGAACTAGTTAAAGAGACATTTCTTTTAATAGCCAGATACAATTTTATTTAATACTGTTTTAAAATAAGATTAAAACTTATTTCTTAGAGAGTTTTTATATTTATACTCTGTTAAAAACAAATTAATTTGGTTGAGAGAATCTTAATGAACTTCAAAAATGAATATGTGATTACTAGCGTAGGATTGTAAAAAATAATAATATTTAATCAGTTGATTAATGTAATTTTATATATTTATTTATTTCAATGGTCAAAAATTGTATTTAACTATAACAAATTTTGTAAATAAAACTGAATTCAATATTAATCTATGATATAATTTCTATGATAATAATACGTTTGTTTATCTGAGTATGACGCATATCAGAACTTGAGCTTTTTGGTAATTATGAAAAACGTCATGAATTTTAAATAGTAACGTCAATTTCATAACGAATAAAAATTAAAAATACGATACTATGGAAACCATTTTGGAAGGTAGATTAAAAAACAAACCAATGTCTATAAAAGACATTAACATAATATAATTTATATTCAAATAGATTGATTGATTGATTATATGAAAGTTACATTGTCTTCATATAAACGTTACATATTTATACTTTTTGTGTTAAACTTTTATTACAATTATTATAATTGAAACGTTTTTATATTAACAACAATGTCTCAATGCACTTCAAAATTTGCTGCTTTTCAAAGTCATGTTAAAGTGTCTATTCGACCATCTAGGGGATTACTTTATGAACAAACGAAAAATTGTAACCGGAGCTAGTTCAGGTGAATATAAAAATATTTAAATAACATGTACCCAAATTTAATTTTAATATAAATGCAAAATTTAATCAACAATCAGTTAATGCAATTGTTCTTTATAAATTGTAAAATATCACAGTTAAAACATAAATTATAATGAATTTGTTTATATTAGGGTGAAGTGGAGTAAATGTAAATAAACGGGGTAATTAAAATTCCTTATTATTTTTAGTTAGATAAGTAGTCAATTAAATGTATTATGATCATTATTTTTTGTAAACGGTTTTCAAGTAATATTTAAAATTAAAATTAAGTAATAAAAATAATAATAATAATTATAATAAAATTAATAATTTTAAATAATATTAGTGATTGATTCTAATTATTCATATAATAATTGAATATTATCGTAGGAATTGGAAAAGTTATCACGGATAGAATATTATGCTTAGGATCTCATGTCATAGCAGTCAGTAACAAAAATGATAAGCTTCCTCCTGATGGTCCAAAACTAACGAGTGTCTGTGTAGATATAAGTAATTGGTATTCAGTGTATGACAAAATATTAAATGTTGGACCGGTTCATGGTTTGGTAAATAATGCAGGAGTTGCACACATTGAATCATTTTTAAGATAGGCACAACACAGTTGGGATGAGTAAGGATTAAATTTTTTAATCGTATTACACTACATTTTATTTGCATAACATAAATCAAAACGCTATTTAATGTTTTATAGAAATTATATTTGTAATATAATATGTCCATAATATTTAAACATTAATTTTTTAAGCACTTTGAATGTTAACTGCAGAGGTATGGTGAGAATTAGTCAGGCAGCCATAAAAACATGCTAGAATTATCAATGTTTCTTCTACAATATCTGAGGTAGTATTTTTATAAGTTTTATTGTTACTTAACTTAGTGCCCAGCGGCGTATTTATTTGCAGGCAATATAGGCAATTGCCTACATTAGTATATTTTAAGGGGCGGAAAATATTGAAGTCAGTCGTAAACCAAAAATATGTTAAGGGGTATTAATAAGATACTGTATAGTGAAAAGGAGTATTTAATATAAAGAACTATCCTCGGTATTTTACTCGGGGTGTGTTGTTCGAGGGTCTATATTTGTTAATATTAATATGCAAGCTAAGTTTGAATGTTCTTACCTGAGCTTTTAGCTATCCATTAGGCGTGTAGATAAAATTTTTAGAACACTGATAAAAAAACGCAAAGACAGACAATTGTTGATGATAAAATGATATAATTTATGTCACTTCACATATGATTATATAAAATAATTGTAATAATTAAAAGGTATTTACAGTACGCGAAGTTCACGCAGAACTGCTCTTAGTCAACAAACATAAGCTTAAATACTGATAAATAAAATTATTATTGTTTTACGATGTATATTTAAGATAGCTAGTGAGAACCAGACGATGATTACGACGTGTTCGTCTTGGAGTCCGATCGAAACAGATCGATCGCGTCAATCCCTGGGTTCTTCCTGGTGTCCTTGTAACCTCTTTAGAGACGCACATATTCATCGTTTAGCTTTTATTTTGCTTCACATTTTTTTAGGAATTTCATGATTTTGTTTATATATTGAAAAAGGATTCTTTAACTAAAAATAATAAATAGTAAGATTTGATTGTTGAAGGGTGCACGTGCGTTGAAAAAAAGAAGAAGAACGAATGCCTATGGCGTGATCGTGTCAACTATGTGTGTTTCTGTGATTGAGAACAGAAAATATTGATTGTGTACAGTATTTGTCGTGGGAAGTATTGTGTAATAAGGTAGAATCTTTGTTTGTGTTGAAAGTAGAAAGGAAAGAGAAAGAAATAATGTTTTTATGTAAAGGGCCTATTACAACAAGACCAACAAATTTATATAAAGCGAGTTATTTTTTTAATGTTGTTAAGACATATTGACTTCTTAATAATTATGATAATCGTTTTCATTTATTGTGTTTTTATGATATGTATATTTATAGCTACGAGCAATTTATTATATTTTATTAATAAACATAAATTAGATTGAAAAATATTTTTAAATATTTTTTTTTTTTTTGAGGAAGAATTAATATTGTTATGGTGAAAATATATAAATATGAGCCCCCTCCGTCATAACATAATGAAGGGCAGTAAATTTTTAAATGCCTATAGGCGGCAAACATGTGAATACGTCCTTGTTAGTGCCATTGTTAACCTACTCGTTATAGGGTTTTGAAGTTTTTTCGTTATTTCATTAAGTAATTTACTTATAAATTTTCAAATTTTCATATAAGTTTTTTTTTTAATAATCGTTTAGAGCCTACCATAATAATATAACATTTGTACTGATTCCATTCAACAATTTCATGAATATTTTAATTCATATTAAGTATTAATTACAAATTTTGAATCTTAATTTTTAGTAAGTTAAAATTTATTTCAACCATTTTTAGAGAGATGTTCCTGACCGTGTCTCTTATTGTGCTTCTAAAGGAGTTGTTAATCAAATTACTAGATCCATGGCAATTGAATTTGGGTCAAAAGGAATCAGAACAAACTGTGTTAACCCAACAGTTATTATGATAGAAATGGGTAAAAGATCGTGGAGTGATCCAAGTAAATCGGAGCCTCTTTTAAAAAGAATACCTCTGGGAAGATTTGCAAGTAATTACATTTATAAATAGTTTTTACTATAGTGCCTTTTGCTTTGTTTCTATAAATATAATTAAGGGATTTAATGTTTAAAATATTTCAGTTATATAAATGATTAGGAATTTTGTGCCCTTTGGTTACTAATATTAGTTTGTAATAGCAATTCATTTGTTTTTTATTTATAAATCAAGTTTTATTTAATTACATATAATAGTGATTTATGGTAACTAATATGATATTGTTTGAACAATTTTCTCTAATATACGTAAAACATTTTAAATTGAAATAAAATGATCATGCTTAACTTTTTACTTGATATTTATGTAATAATTTCTTCAACAATTAATTTCAGCCCCTAATGATGGTGCAAATGCTGTAATTTTTTGTTAAGCGAATATTCAAGTATGATAAACGGTACAATTATTTATGTAGGTGGTGGTTTTATGTCTAGTTGATTATTGTTTTATTTTTTAATTACAATGAAGAAGTTTGTTTACGATTTGTTTGTTGTTGATATTTTTGTACGTACACTTTTCAAATGAACATTTATAAAATAGTTAATAATTAAGATAAAACGTAAAAATCAATATTTAAACTTTAAGTTTTATGTTATTAGTATTTATATATTTTTATATATTATTATTTTATCATATTTTTATTTAATTATTCATGTTAATGATTGTTTTCTTTCATTATTAATGTTATCGTAGTAATTATACAAAAATACTATATCATGATATAACAGTTTATTTAGTAAGTAAAATTTTAAAAACTTATTTCATTCAATATAAATTTTTGTATTATCTAAAATAAGAATTTAGATAAATTATTGTAATAAATATAATGATTTTTTCCCAAGGAACTTAATTAATAATTGTTAAACATTATCAATGATAATACCAATTATTTAATATTATGTAATTTTACAAAAATATTTTTCATCATAATCCAAAAAAATTTAAATAGAAAAAAATGTAAATAAAAATTAAATTTTTATAAATAGTATTGTGTTGTAAAATAATTTTCGTTATTTCAATTTATAGTATCTCTTTTTTCCCACTCTATTTTAATCAATACATTAAAAAAAATATATTGGTATTTATTCGTTTTATTATATTGTAAGTTTTTACATTTTATATTAATTCTTCATTTATATTTTTACTGCCAAAACAAATAGTAAATAATTTGAAAAAATAATTTTAAATTAAATAAAAAATCTAAACTAATTTAGTTTGGTAATTTTTTTAAGGTGGAAGTCTTCCATTAGAATTATTATTTTTAAAACAAATGATTTATTATGTATAGATTTTCTTATATTTTCGATTAAATTTTAATACCCAATAGACTAATTTAATTAATCGTCGTAATTACGTCAATTAATTAAATTTATTTATTCAAAATGATAAGTTAGTATTATAATAGCTGTTTTTTTACTTTTAATTTATAATGAGTAGTTTAATATACTCTACATGATTAACTTAAATGGTATTTGACGATAATCCTGAGGTCAAATATACCTTTTAATAATACATAACTTTTAAATAAGTGTAGATAAAATGAATAATAGTTGTATCCTTTTAAGTCCTCATTAATATCATAGAAACTTCTAGAAAGGTGACTAATAAAACACTAACATATGCTTATAATAATAATATTGAATATAGTCATTATTTGATGTTAAGATACTTATAATTTTATCAAATAAGTTGATAATTATAATTGAATAATTACTATGTAATCATTATTTTATGCAAACATTAAAATAGTTTAATTTTTATAATGTTAAAATTATACCAATTTATACTATTATTGTTTAATATCACAGAATAGTTCGACGAATATAAATTAGTCTTATGATGCAATATTGCAACTCATCAATGAAAAAAAAAGTTTCTAAATACTTGAAATATTGTGGCAATTAAATAATTTCATCTAATCCATATATTTTAGCTTCGATGCGAAGCTGAGAAGGTATTGGTTTTACTATGATGTGTTTTTTTTTTTTTTTTTTTTTTTTTTTTTTTTTTTTTTTTTT